ATATCAATAAAAGTCTAGTTAACAGGTACGATAACACTTAGATTCCATATTTATTTATCCAATGTTAGGGTGCGGCAATGTTTCTTATGTGCCGAAAACCGACGGCACCCGGATAATATTAATGCAACTTGAACGGAACTCAGGATGCCTTCAATCATTTGAGTTGAGAATAACCGGCATCTTAAATCAATATAACCTGACATGTTGAGCATTACTATTGTCTTGTTCACCCTACTGTAGGTTCCTAATTAGTGCGAAATGTGAAATGTTTAGTTCAAACAGCTTAAAAGCATTTTCCCTACTGATCATGCCTACTTACCTGATCACATCAATCACAGAAAGAGTCACAATGCAACTTAAAACTATTGGCTTATAGCAGTTTACAGCTGTGAGCCCGTATTGTTGGTGTTATTATTACTGTGAGGCCACACTAGTGGTGTACCACTGAGAGACTAAACTAGCTGTGCATTACTGTGAGACTACACTAGCCATGTATTACTGTGAGACTACACTAGCGGTGTATTACTGTGAGACTACACTAGTGGTGTATTACTGTGAGACTACACTAGTGGTGTACCACTGAGAGACTAAACTAGCTGTGCATTACTGTGAGACTACACTAGCCATGTATTACTGTGAGACTACACTAGCGGTGTATTACTGTGAGACTACACTAGTGGTGTATTACTGTGAGACTACACTAGTGGTGTACCACTGAGAGACTAAACTAGCTGTGCATTACTGTGAGACTACACTAGCCATGTATTACTGTGAGACTACACTAGCGGTGTATTACTGTGAGACTACACTAGTGGTGTATTACTGTGAGACTACACTAGTGGTGTACCACTGAGAGACTAAACTAGCTGTGCATTACTGTGAGACTACACTAGCCATGTATTACTGTGAGACTACACTAGCGGTGTATTACTGTGAGACTACACTAGTGGTGTATTACTGTGAGACTACACTAGTGGTGTACCACTGTGAGACTAAACTAGCTGTGCATTACTGTGAGACTACACTAGCCATGTATTACTGTGAGACTACACTAGCGGTGTATTACTGTGAGACTACACTAGTGGTGTACCACTGTGAGACTAAACTAGCTGTGCATTACTGTGAGACTACACTAGTGGTGTACCACTGAGAGACTAAACTAGCTGTGCATTACTGTGAGACTACACTAGCCATGTATTACTGTGAGACTACACTAGCGGTGTATTACTGTGAGACTACACTAGCGGTGTATTACTGTGAGACTACACTAGCAGTGTATTACTGTGACACTAAAAACTACTGGTGTATTACTGTGAGACTACACTAGCGGTGTATTACTGTGAGACTACACTAGCGGTGTATTACTGTGAGACTACACTAGAGGTGCATTACTGAGACTACACTAGCGGTGTATTACTGTGAGGCCACACTAGTGGTGTACCACTGAGAGACTAAACTAGCTGTGCATTACTGTGAGACTACACTAGCCATGTATTACTGTGAGACTACACTAGCGGTGTATTACTGTGAGACTACACTAGCGGTGTATTACTGTGAGACTACACTAGCAGTGTATTACTGTGACACTAAAAACTACTGGTGTATTACTGTGAGACTACACTAGCGGTGTATTACTGTGAGACTACACTAGCGGTGTATTACTGTGAGACTACACTAGCGGTGTATTACTGTGAGACTACACTAGAGGTGCATTACTGAGACTACACTAGCGGTGTATTACTGTGAGGCCACACTAGTGGTGTACCACTGAGAGACTAAACTAGCTGTGCATTACTGTGAGACTACACTAGCCATGTATTACTGTGAGACTACACTAGCGGTGTATTACTGTGACACTTAAAACTACTGGTGTATTACTGTGAGACTACACTAGCGGTGTATTACTGTGAGACTACACTAGCGGTGTACAGTAAAGTATGGTTATAACGAACTCAAAGGGACTACTAATTATAGTTCGTTATAACCGTAGTTCGTTATAAGCATATATACAGCATAACTACAGCAAATAGTCGGGACCAAAAAGTAAGTTCGTTATATCCGTCAGTTCGTTGTAAGCGTGTTCATTATAACCGCAGTTTACTGTATTACTGTGAGACTACACTAGCGGTGTATTACTGTGACACTAAAAACTACTGGTGTATTACTGTGAGACTACACTAGCGGTGTATTACTGTGAGACTACACTAGCGGTGTATTACTGTGAGACTACACTAGCGGTGTATTACTGTGAGACTACACTAGCGGTGTATTACTGTGACACTAAAAACTACTGGTGTATTACTGTGAGACTACACTAGCGGTGTATTACTGTGAGACTACACTAGCGGTGTATTACTGAGACTACACTAGCAGTGTATTACTGTGAGACTACACTAGCAGTGTATTACTGTGAGACTACACTAGCAGTGTATTACTGTGACACTAAAAACTACTGGTGTATTACTGTGAGACTACACTAGCGGTGTATTACTGTGAGACTACACTAGCGGTGTATTACTGTGGTTGGTTGGTTGGTTGGTTTGTTGTTTAACGCCGCACTCAGCAATATTCCAGCTATATGACGGCGGTCTGTAAATAATCGAGTCTGGACCAGACAATCCAGTGATTTATATCATGAGCATCGATCCACGCAATTGGGATCGATGACATGCATCAACCAAGTCAGCAAGCCTGACCACCCGATCCCGTTGGTCGCCTTTTACGACAAGCATAGTCACCTTTTACGGCAAGCATGGGTTGCTGAAGACCTATTCTACCCCCGAATCTTCACGGTTCTTGTGTATTACTGTGAGACTACACTAGCGGTGTATTACTGTGAGACTACACTAACGGGGTATTACTGTGAGTCTCAGTGTATAACTGTTGGACTACACCAGCGGTGTATTACTGTGAGGCTCAGTGTATTACTGTGGGACTACACTAGGGGTGTATTACTGTGAGACTACACTAGCGTTGTATAACTGCGAGTCTCAGTGTATTACTGAGGGAATACTCAAGCGGTGTATTACTGTGAGACTACACTAGCAGAGTATTACTGTGAGACTAAAAACCAGTGGTGTATTACTGAGGCTACACTAGCTGTGTATTACTGTGAGTCTCAGTGTATTACTGTGGGCCTACACAAGCAGTGTATTACTGTGACACTAAAAACTACTGGTGTATTACTGTGAGTCTCAGTGTATTACTGTGGGACTACACTAGCGGTGTATTACTGTGTGACTACACAAGCAGTGTATTACTGTGACACTAAAAACTACTGGTATATTACTGTGAGTCTCAGTGTATTACTGTGAGACTACACTAGCGGTGTATTACTGTGAGACTACACTAGCGGTGTATTACTGTGAGACTACACTAGCGGTGTATTACTGTGGGACTACACTAGCGGTGTATTACTGTGACACTAAAAACTACTGGTGTATTACTGAGACTACACTAGCGGTGTATTACTGTGAGACTACACTAGCGGTGTATTACTGTGACACTAAAAACTACTGGTGTATTACTGAGACTACACTAGCGGTGTATTACTGTGAGACTACACTAGCTGTGTATTACTGTGAGACTACACTAGCCGTGTATTACTGAGACTACACTAGCGGTGTATTACTGAGACTACACTAGCGGTGTATTACTGTGAGACTACACTAGCCGTGTATTACTGTGACACTAAAAACTACTGGTGTATTACTGTGACACTAAAAACTACTGGTGTATTACTGTGACACTAAAACTACTGGTGTATTACTGAGACTACACTAGCGGTGTATTACTGTGAGACTACACTAGCGGTGTATTACTGTGACACTAAAAACTACTGGTGTATTACTGAGACTACACTAGCGGTGTATTACTGTGAGACTACACTAGCGGTGTATTAATGTGAGACTACACTAGCGGTGTATTACTGAGACTACACTAGCGGTGTTTTACTGTGAGACTACACTAGCGGTGTTTTACTGTGAGACTACACTAGCGGTGTATTACTGTGACACTACACTAGCAGTGTATTACTGTGACACTAAAAACTACTGGTGTATTACTGACCAGGCCCAGCAACACAATGATGGGCAGCAGCACCAGTGCTGTGAAGGCCATGGACACCACCGTCGGTGGCCGCTTCTCTTCAGGGTGGAACACATGCTGCAGAGACAAGAAAACATTTCACCTAAATCGTCAGCTGGACATCATTAACAACCATTTGGTATATTCCCCTACATCAGGTTTCACTAGAAAAATCAACCATATTAGACATTCTCTTTTTAACAACATTCCGTCATTGTTGAAGTCATATCTCCAATAACTGATTCACTAACATAGCCTCAATCAATTTTACTGATCATCAGAGAAGGAGTAACTAGTGGCCGATGTGAATACAGTAATCAGCTTGGACCATTGATGTGAGGTGTGCTTGTTAATTAGGCTTGATTTGACATTGGGCATTCTGTTAGGTTTCCTGAACGGGATTTTGACACATCCAGTTTGACAGATCCGAGAATAAATGATGATACGTATTAAAGGAATTCGCAGGGACCGAAAGGTGAGTTTCAGACAACCAAGATTGACACAACCAAGTTCAACACACGGCTGGGACGAGTCCAAATTTAGTACCCGCTGTAGGTTTCAAGTGGTAGGTACAAAATGGCCAATTGGGAAACGATTGACTCTACACCTGTCAAAATGTATTTAGATACACATATAAACCGATCTGGTCATGCATTGTTGACTTAATGCAAACATAATAAGTCAGAAAGAAATGTGAACATTTGTCACTTATAGTGTAACCATCGAATTCTAGATAATTTGCCATTAAACAATTTAGTCACATGACTAACCAAGGGTCGTGGTAGTCCTGAGGGTACTTGGGTCCTAGTCAGTACCCACCCAACCTGAGTACCCGAGTTAACCGTCCCAGCCCAATTCCACATAATGAGGTTTGATTGTATGTATCTATGCATCTTATTTTGCTGTCCTTTTTCACATTAATGCATGGTTTGTCTCCCCTGTCAATGCCACACAGTGGCTCAGGAAAGTCTATGGAATATGCAGGAGCCATCCCACACCCAACAAACAATGGGGGACTGGTTTGTTCTCCAACGATGTGGAAAAGGAATATACATCACACCCAAGGGGCTCTCAGCTCCTATCTGCCACACAGACATCCATTGTAACAGGCTAGGCCTGAACATAGGATGACAATGTTGAGCAAGCAAGATGATACAAATATACTGCAGTAAAGATTTGACCATGCCAACAGATCTCGGCATACCTTGATTTCGGGTTTCTTGGCATACTGGCTCTGTGCCTCTCGTGCTGATGCAGTTCCCTCTGGGAAGGTCAGCTGGACATCCGCCTAACATACAACAAATCATGCTTAGACAAGTACACTAACCACATGGGTGCTACATGCTAGAATAGACAATGTAATACACAATGTAACATTGTGTTTGTTGAGTGGTGATAATATCATTACTACAATAGATTTAAATTAAAACAGGTTTCAATCAATGTTTTTAAGCACATTTTGCAGAACTGAACTGGAAACAACATTTTAGGATTTCCTTTCAATATAACACATAACACCACTCTCTGAATTATGAAGCATGAAAAACATACACTTCGACAAGATCGTAGAATTCTGTTTTTGAATCAACACTTATGTTACATGTCCCCGAACATTACACTTACAGAATAACAATACTAAAATACTCATATGCCATTACATTTGGAGGGAATAAAAGTCTGTATATGTTGAACAGTCATTCATAAATCTAGCCAGAACTTGAACTCCTAAAAACAAAAAACAAGCCCTCCTTGCCTGCTTAACACGCCTACAGTACTAGCAGATATCTCACCAGAATCCATGAGAAAGGATTCTCAATAACAGCATCACCAACAATCAGCTCCATGCTGTACTTCCCTGACAGGTACCCAAACTCCTTGGCACTGGCTCCAACATCCTGTCAACAATCACACAAGACATATACGACATGTAAGCATGTTTACATACTGAACTAGTAATTGAAAATTCTTTTGGGGGGCAAATGCATAACATCATTATTACTAGAGCTGGGTATTGCCCCAAATTTCGTATTGCGATATATTGCGATACATTCCTCTGTATTGCAATACGTACTGCAATATATTGTGGAAGAAAACTTATTGAGTTCTGTCCACTGTTTAAAATTCTCTTACCTCCACATTGAATCACAGTACAATCATACAAAGTTAAGCTTTATTCAAAGTAAAAAAAAGGGAAAAACCAGAACATTCAGACAAAACAGACAATTGTATTTGTGTCTGACTGGCTGTGCTATTTGACTCAAGAATAGCTGTTTAAGACACCATAATGGTAAAGTCCAACATGCAGTAAATATTAGTGGTATCAATTCTCCAGACTCAGTGACATCATGGGTGCGTTTAGCTCATAGGTTCAGGAAGAAATGTTGGAGGTATTTATGTATAATATGGGTCCAGTGTTTGTGGTAACATAAGTTTGTAATTGTTTATCAAAGAGCTGTTCGTGCAGTTTCATCCCAATGACATTGCAGGTAAAAATATAGACAATATTAGTTGTTTTAACTCTTTCAACACCAGTCAACCAGAAGCGTTTACTGCTGTGACACCCAGTCACCAGAGATTCCTGTGTGATGGGTGAAACCAACATTTATCAAAGAAAATATCTGCTTGTAAAACATCTTTGCTACTATATGTTATACACCATTTGAAAGGTCTGATCCTATTGTTTATAAATATGAAAGTTATGTTGATCACATTATTTAAATAATGCATTTACAACTTAATTATGTTCGTTGTAATTAAAAAAGTTGTAAGCTAACACATTCATAACGTCCAGATTAAGGACCAAGGAAGCGAAAATTTGACGATTTTCAGCAAATATACGATTTCATAAAATGCACTTACCTATTTCCTTTTTATTTTTATAGTTTATGTTATTGGAAAAGCATTTTAAAAAGAATTATCAATAGTATCTGTCATCACCTATTTCCCGATAACAGCGCCTGTCCGCTCACATGAAGAAATACCACTGTTTTCGAGGCTTCGTATGAATAACACGTTCGTCGAAGACTGGCATATGACACATCGCTAGAAAGCTCATTCTTTCATCTACACGCTCGTAACATCGCCTGGAGTTTTTCGTAGTTAAAAAAAATCGATTTTATTGGATAAAAATTGGTTTCTAATGACGCTTTGGCGCCAAAATCTGCTACAAGGTTTGTGATTGGTCAAATTTGAGCATGTGATCTAAGGCAGTCAATCAAATTACAGTTGTGGTATGAATTTTAGATTTTGACGAAATCTTTTTGTTAATCCTGCCATTCTGAACATCTCAAGCAGGAAATCGCGATTTATATTAAAAATATGGTGCTTTGTTGATGTATCGTGCTAGGTTACGAGTTGTGACAAAGATTTTTCATGCATATATTTTGGCATTAAACATCGTGTCCGAGCCGAGAATTTAGGCGACGAATGCTGAGATGTCATTTGATTTACATTACAAGCGATCGCACGAAAAGATGGAAATAATAACTTAGCAGTAAGTTTGACAACTTTTAGATATATTTTTGTTGATTGTATCTATAACTTTGTATACTATATTCAAAGCTTTGCCTGAATCGTCTTTATTTTGCTCTTTGACATGTTTGATATGGACCCGTTTTCGAAGTGGGTGTCCGAGATTTTTATTTTAAATAACATTATGGGAAATAGTGAATAATTTCTTAATCTATTGATAAAAAATGATAAATTGAAATGGAATACGTATTTCAGACATTGTGAAATGTGATAGATTTAATAAATGAAAGATATGACTGGTAGGTTTAAAAAAATAAATACTATTTTGACGTGACTACGGCTTGGCCGGTCTACCGGCCTACGGTGTCTGGGAATGCTTCTTGGCCGGTATTACGGGCCTACGGTGTTGAAAGAGTAATAATAATTAGGCATAAGGAAGTTGAATTTGAAAACACAAAATCATTGTCAATATACCGGTACATCACAAACGTATCGAGATATGTAATTGTTTCATTTTCATATTGCGGTATACCGGTATACCGGTAATACCGTGCAGCCCTAATTATTACATAATCAGAGTATTATGTCTATTTTATATATCTATCCTGCTGTACATATTGCACATTGCTCTTACCAACGAAGTCCTAACTGGGATTGAATGACAATGTAGTTGACACACCTCCTACATGTCATTATTGTCTTCGCATACTTCCCTCAGGACTGGTGGTACAGCCAGGAAGGAAGACGTCTGGCATGCGAGGGCCCTTGGATAATGCAGGATAAGTATATCAAATAGACATAATACTACGTAGAGTGGTACTGTAGGTTGGGCTTGCACGAGGTGGTTAGTCTTCGTTACTTTTTTGCAGTCGGCACCTGCAACAGAAGCAGACGTGAACAACCAGAGATAACTTTCAGTTCTCGCAAGGAGACCAAGGTTAATCGTTGGATAACCAAGTCTGGAATTGCGCTGTAATGGTGAACCTGTCCCCTCCTCAAACCTGTGAATGGTCTGACCGAGGGGGCATGGGGGTAGGCTGCATTATTGCTGAGCAACCACCAAAGGCCCAAAACTATGCATGTCTTCCACGTCTCCCACAGACACATTACGGAGGTAATGGCTTGCAAAGACAGTGGTAGAGCTCCAGAAACAATGGACTGGATGGAACAATTTCTGTAAAGAGCCATAGTTGAAGCCAGCACCTAGATGTCATGGGGGTTCCTGGATCTGGGATGCTGCATTATGTGCCTGTAGGATTATTGCTCTTAGCCAGGTGCTCCTGGATATCTCTCCTTTACAAGTCAACAAAGTGTTAATGAAGAAGCGGCACCGGTTCGTCCTTCTGGGCCTCGCTGCTTCCATGAAGGCTCTGAGGGTACAGAAAAGACATAGCAGAAGCTCATCCTGGTCCTCCACCACGACAATAGAATGGAGGGGAGATATGGTAAAATGTCTATCTTGTTGGCCAGGCTGCTGACTTTTGGCAATAAAATCCCAGCACAAACCAAGATGAACCGACCCTCTGGGATGTTGTTCCCACTGATGGACTTCTGAGTCAGGTGTCAAAAAGAAGCCCTGTCGAGTGGTTCATAGGGATGTTGTCTAAATACGATGTTCATGCAGGAGGACGGCACTTCAACCTGAAACAGCTTGTAATAGCCGTCAACTCCGGTATCGTGGATAGCTTCCTGTCTTGGGCAACAGCGCAGACGGTGTTGATGGCGGACAGGTACGTAGCTATGGTACTACCCTTGAGATGTTTCTTTAATAATGTTAGGTTGAGCAAGCAGTCGGCTACGAAAAGCGCCATTGCATCTGGTGTGGTCACATCTTTTAGCCTACAGAAGGTCTCAAAGGAAGACCATTTGTCATTATATGGTCCACTGGTGGATGGTCTAGGGGGCTGGGCTATGCCTTGGGCGATTCTCCTTGAGTAACCCATGGCTGTTAGCACCTTCTGCAGACAACCCTCCCAGGCCTAAGGGCCGGCATTGGTGACAAGAACTTCGACAGCTGCTTATTGTGGCTTGTGGCAAACAGATAATTCGGTTGCCCAACTGTTAGCACAGTAGATGCAGCTTCCACTCTGTGGTGGATGGGCGGTCCGGTTGTGATGTTCCTGCTCTGGATTTGTATCTCGCACTGGCCTTTAAAGGAATCATGTCAATGAGGTGGTAAAAACGGAATGTCTGGTTCAAAAGGAACGTAGACAGGGTTGATCCCTGCTTGTTGATGAACCAGATAACCATTTTATTGTCCATGGCGATCATCAACCTGGCCTTGGTCATTGTGGAGCTCTATGTTTTGTACTGCCAGGGTGACAGCTTCTTGTACCAGATTGTTGATATGCCGCTGTGTTTGTTCTGAAGATCACAGCCCTGTCACTGTCTTATTTAAGAAGTGGGCTCCCCATCCTTTGAGTGAGGCATCTACAAAAGGTGATGGGACGACTTGAAAACTGTCAAGGAGACACCTCAGGCGTTCGATGAGACCGACCACCAGTAGAGGTATTGGCGTAGATGGTCTGGCATCATAACTAGGCTCTATATTTGCTGGAGCCAGAAACAGTTGTAGCGGTCTGCCGTTAAGCTGTCTCCTGCCTGTGAGGTCTTGAGTCACTGTGAGTAGGCCTAGCAGAACTAGCCACTGGTTGCCTGATTGGGGGCCT